ATATATTAATATACTGTTGGGACAAGAATATTGATTATTAATCTTCCTTAATGTTTTTTATTTTATTTTAAATGTTTTCTTAGACGAGATATAAAATATAATTACCTTGTACAGTTGGTAATTCTTCTAAGTAGAGTAGCCATTTGCCATGAGATTTGTCGTTTGCGACTTCATATGGCCACGAAATTCTTACTTCTACGCTACTCACTTTCCATGGTCCTTCGTTAAATACTTCATAAGTGTGTGAAACTTTAGGTCCTATTTCACTTAGATGTTTAATAGCTGATTCGCCGATAACTGGTCCACCATAAAAGGCCCATTGAGTTTTTGCACTTCTGTTAAATTAATAAACAAATATTAATAAATGAATCATAAATATATAATAAATAATAAGTAGGTTACAACAAACCAACCCTTTTATTGATAACTCAGCTCTCTTTAGCACAGTGGCCTGTAACAATGTAGGTTTCTTCTCTGTCACCTCTTTCGATGTTGAATTAGCAAAAATCACGAAATCTAAAAATGATTCATTGTCTTCTAAACCTTTAGGATCAAATCGCACTTGTATGTTCACCATTTTATCTTTCTTAAATGGATTGCCAATCGAACATGCCACCAATGTGGCATTGTATAAATTACAAATTACAGAATCATTGCTTTTACTGGCAATGTAATTTAAATTTTGCGAATGAGTTATAAAAAGTTGCGCTTCGTACGCCGATTCACCAACGTTCGTTACGTTAACTTCAACTACGACTTCTTCTTTTTCACCAAGAAGTAATTCGTAGAAGTTAGGCTTAACTGAAGACACTGAAAATAATTATAACATATTTAGATGTATCTTCTTTTTCGACAAACAAACATAACAAAATAAATACATGTGCAAATGTGTGTGCGTCAATAGGATCGCAAGTATAGAAAGTAAAAGTGCATAAACAAATGAAAACTATATAAATTGATCGATAAATACAAACCTGATAAATTCAAATGCGCATACACTTGCAAATCACTTTCACAAATATCATTATTTCCACAATCTTTCTGGAATGTTGCTTCAAATATGCGAGCTGCTTCCTGCTGATTAAGAATAGGATAATTTTTAATATCAGGCAATGAATCTCCTTCGGCATGCATCATTGGTTCTTCTTGTATCAATGAATAATTTAATCTGAACTTAATGGGCGATTGGATGTCACGAGTATTTTCCTTAAAAAATCATTTTTTATATTATTAGCTAATGTTTTAAATATTTTATACATACATTTTTATTTCGTTAAAATATCCTACCTTTAAGTATACAATTTCCGTTTGACAATGTATTAATTTTTTTGTATCCAAAGTAACCGTACGATTAACATAATGAGGGCGTGTATTACCAACGCCAAACCAAACTCTAGAAAATTTTTTAACACCAGAATATGTCTCAGCCTCTATGAAATAATTTAATCGTAAATTTTGCATGTCTTCTTCTTTAACCAAAGATTCTGTTTTACAACATGCTTCAAATGAAAAGCTAAAAAATATAACAATTTTTTAATCGTAATGTGCACTAGTCATACACATATTCATAAACTTGCATATGATATATACCATGTATGATTTGCATCGGGATGTGCTGCACATCCTAATTTATTAGGATCTATAGGATCTATCTTATCTTGATATGTCCCATCTTTTTTAAGATAGCTAATATACGTGGTAATGTCAATAATTTTTTTGGAACGAAGGAGTACAACAGCATCATCTTCATAAGCACCGATCAATAAATCAGGATAACCATTTTGATCCATATCAATTCCTCCACTTAATGAATATCCGAAGGTACGTAATGGTACTGGAGTATCTTCCGAATGAATGATCTATAAATAAAATTATTTGTAATTTTATTTGTATGAACATCGAGCAACTTTATATTCAACTGCTTTTAAATTTGTTTTAAATACCTGTGATGGTGTTGTAATGATTCCATTTTTGGATCCAAGATATATGTAAACTGTTCCTTTTCCTTCATAAGGAGCACCAATAGCAATATCTTCGTAACCATCTTTGTTCAAATCTCCTAAGTTAGTTAATGCAAAGCCAAACCTTGATTCTTCGCGTCCGACTAATTTAACGGGCTTACATTTATCGTTATCTTTAATATTTTTACATAACATTGTATAAATATAAACAGCTCCACCCTCCGCTTTATTAAAATAAAATGGCGCTGCCACAATTAAATCTGTTATTCTGAAATAAATAATGAATTAAAATAATTTTGATATAATATAGCAAATAATGTTTAATATATTATAAAAAAATTTCTTACTTGTCTCCATTGACATCCGCAGAAGTAATTTCGTACCCAAAACTTGAAGCAAATTGTTCACCACTTAAGATTAAAACAACATCCATCTCAGGTTTATTGTCTTTTCTTGTGAGAATAACAACTTGTCCTGTACCTTTCGAACGTGGTGCTCCAGCAGCATATGCTAAACCATTTCCAAAGAAGTTACCCACAGCAACTGACATGCCTACAAAATTGATTTATAATATAATTGAAGTTATTTAAAGACTTGTAAATAATACAAATGAATTATTAAGTACTGACCTAAGTAACTGTATTTATTAACAGGTGAAGTATCTTGCATTGGAACATTATAAACAGTATTGTCCCTATTTAAAAATTCATCAGAAACAGTAAAAAGATATAACGTTCCCTTCCATGTATGAGGTCCAGGTGTACCAATCACCACACGATCTTCAGAAGTAAATACTCCGCTTGTACCAGCTTGACAATATCCAAATTGTTCATGTGCTCTTTAGAAATGAAATAAAATAAAAATAACAAAAAAATGCATAAAACAATATAATTCATTGTTATTGCATATCTTACTTATTAGTAGGTTTTCCTGAGCATGGTTTTTTTAAATCTGGATATTTTAAATCCTGAGTCAATATATAACACTGACCCTGTCCCCATCGAGAATCAGCGGTTTTAACAATGTGTCGATGAGCACATACCTTTAATGAAATGTATTAGTAAAAATATGTTGTTAGTTACATTACGTGACAACAAAATAATATAAAGGGCTATAACACACACCATTACTTTGCCACCAACACCCTGACTACGCACTGTAACTCCTAACCACTGATTATCTTTTATTTCATCCTTACCAGGAGGAACTAAATCATCAGAATCAAAACCTAGAAATAGAAACTTTAGAATAGTAAAATTATCATAATTTTATTTATAAATTTTTGCATATACCATTGATCTTTATAAATCAGAAAACAAACCATAAAACATATTTCTTTTTTTAACTATGCTCAATTCTTTTTTTGCAGGATTTTTTACAAACGTATTTATCATGTAGAAAAAGAATTGAGCGTATGCAGTATACCTACATAAAAAATCAGATCAGATCGGATCATTTATTATAAAAATATTTTTAACTCGTTAGGACAATAAGTAATTATATAATTGTTATTAAAATTAATCATGTGTTAGTACTTCACAATATCTATAAAGTAAAACAATCTAATGTTATTAATACATAAGGATTTTCAAATGAAATGGAGAAAAATATGATTAAGTATAAAAAATTTACATTGAAATCAAAGTTGTTTTAATATTTTACTACAATATTTATTGTAACACAGTTATAGTTAAAGAAAATATTTTACTTTTTCTTGATATATAATAATTATAATGATTATCGTTTGAGTCTCAAGAAGTTCTTCAAATTTAATGTCAAAAAAACTCAATAAATTTGACCATAATGTAAAACTTTTTTTTTCTTTTTCTTGGTAATTTCACACAAACAATATTAATTATTTCATATTATTTTACTGAGTAATTATCTTATTTAATTAAATGTTTATTTTATTTCAATAAAATAACATTAAATAAAAATAATATTGATTGTGTAAGAAGACATAAAAAAAAGAAACAAAGAATCTTCCTGGGACTAAAAACAGTTGAAGTATACTGCAATAAAAATCAAGGCTTCTTAAATTTTTCCATGTTGTAGATCACACAAAATATGTTTATCATTTTACATGCCATAGATAAAAATAATGCTTGTTAATGATGTAACTGGTCATTGTAAAAATGAAATTTTCCATATTTACAGAGTTATAACATAAATGTTATGACATTTTTATGGCATACACATAACGTGCACGTGGTTTAGTATAGAAAGAGAAATGATGAAGAAAAAGTATTAATTACAACAAAGATAAATATTACAGTTAATCCTCATGCGAGTATTCCTATCGAAACATTTAAAATTAAAAAAAAAAGTACTCATAAAAATACTCAAAAAATAATCTAAAAAAGTAAAAAAAAGTTCGAAGAATTTCTCATTCAACCATTCTGTCACATCTGTTTTGTTTCACTTACTTGAATCATACAGACCACCCTCTGCTGCTGGTTAACCAAAACATGATGTAACAAAAATAATCTTATTATACAACTGACATAAAATTAAACAAAGAAAAAAAAATTAAAAGAATACTTTACATTATACATGGTACCACAAATTTACGAATTACATGCTTTATCAAATTAATAAACAGTTAGACCACATACTAGCCATTATGTTTATAGTAATGTCAAAATAATGTTCCTATATGCAGGGTTTCCTATAACTGATGGTACAAGCGAACAAGAGACGATTGTACATGAAAAACTAAATTGATTTTATGTAGAATCGTTCCCTGCTCGTTTTTATCACCAGTTACAGGACATCCTGTATAAACATAATACACAATAGATTCTTTTGAAAATTTCCATCACCAATGATAAATGAATATTAAATATAAATTACTACTGGTCAACTATTAAAAAAATATACAACCAAAATTAAACATACTTGATCGTCCATCTGTAATAACTTGAATACAATCCCTCGTATACGTCGTTAATGGACATTGCCATAATGCACCAGATCTATTTGTTTCTGGTTGTCTATTCTGATCTAATGGGGCACCGATTAACATCCTACAAAATATCAATTATAATAGATTACCAATATAAAATATATAGTTTTATTAATTTTATTACAAACAATTAATCATTTATTTTATTTTGAATTAGCATCAGTACCAAAAAGTATATCATTTTAAGTAAACTTAAATTTGATTATACTAGACAATAATAGTTGATAGTGTCATGTTTACATTCATCTTATCTCGCTTCTTATCTGAGTGTCCTTAGAGTTGAAGAAAAAAAATGAGAAAGAGACATAAAAAACATTGTTGATTTTTAAATGAAATTTGATCGGCAAGATCATTGAAAATTACTAACCAACTTTTAGCTTTTCCAGTACCATCCTCAGTAATTTCTTGATGTTCGGCTACCGAATAACCGAAGTAGGAACCATTCAATCCTCTTTTAACAACAGGTATTTGTGTTTCCAAATTGAAAGCATTTATTTGGCAGACACTTAAGAGGATCCATATCGATAAAAACCACATCATTTTTAATTGTCAAACTCTCATGAGTAAATGTTATTTTTAAATTCTGTCCTACTGATTTCAATGACCCTATTTTTATTACTTTCTTTATCCCTTTCACGTACGTACACCTTTAAAACTCTTGCAAGATCCACCCATGCGATTCATTCACCAATCGTACTTCATCTTTTTATTACCATAGAATACAAAAAACTAGTTAAGCATGCGAGCGTTGTCAATGCCTTCTAACTGAACTTTGATGCACTATGCATAAGGCACATTATTGCGATTACAAAAATTATCTAAAATTTAGCCTTTATTTTATGATTTCATATCTTGTATTATGTAATATTTCATATTACGTTTATATTTTATTTTTCATTATATTTTACTCCTATTATTTAACACACATTTTAATTACATAGTTACACATTTAAAATTCGCGCTATTACGACATGTTTTTTTTCTTTTAGTATTTATCGATTAAAAACAAAATCGAAATTTGATAATTATTCTATCACGTTTAATCTTTTTTATTTGTAAAATAAATGTTCAAATATTAATAAATTAATTGTTGTATTTTATATTATTATCTATATATCATCAGAATACTATAATAAATAGTTCTGCTCTCTATATATTCATGTATAATGCTTGAATGCATGTTGCCTCTTTCCGACTATCCTTTTATCCTCGACATTTCAATACGAGCGGATGGTCGAAGTAATCCGAATACATCTTTGATTTAACAAAATTTAATTGCATTCAAGATGACTGAAACTCTGCAGTTAAGGGGAACTCTTCGGGGTCATAATGGCTCGGTTACGCAAATTGCAACAAATCCGAAATATCCAGATATGATTTTATCCTCCTCACGTGGTAAGTCATCTGTTAGATTGGTGTTACTTTCTCGTATATACTTTTGATTGTAGTAACTTATATTGATCTTCATTCGTGAGATGACATATTTAAAAAGTGCAATTAATAATCGAATTTCTAAGAGAACATAATTTAGTTTATGAAATATATCTAAAATTCGTGCAGTTTGTTATACATTGCCTTTCCATTTGGCGGTTTGTCTATATCGTAGCGAGTAATGGCCGCTCAAACAACCCACGCCTGCATGCAATGTGGACTCTACGTGTTAAAATAATAGTGCATTAACATTTTAATTACATTTATAGATAAAACATTGATTGTATGGAAGTTAACGCGTGATGACGCTAATTACGGTATTCCTCAAAAGCGTCTGTACGGACATTCACATTTCATCAGCGATGTTGTTCTATCTTCCGATGGAAATTATGCACTATCCGGTTCCTGGGACAAAACTTTGCGCCTTTGGGACTTAGCTGCAGGCAGGACTACTCGGAGATTCGAAGATCATACCAAGGTGGGGCTCTTATTCTGAGAGTGGGGTATACTGGCGGTACCTCAAATTGGAAATTAACTGAAGCTTTTTTTTATATATTTTATTTTATATAATAAATAGAAGAGGTGGGCTAAACCTACAATACTGTAAGTATTGGCCCGTTTATAATATCGTTCCATAAGGGTTAACAAATGTTTGAAATATGATTATTTGAGCAAAAGATCAACATTTGTTTGTTAGGATGTCCTGAGTGTCGCCTTCTCTGTAGACAATCGACAAATTGTTTCGGGTTCACGAGACAAGACTATCAAGTTGTGGAATACATTGGCAGAGTGTAAATATACCATTCAAGATGAGGGACATACGGATTGGGTCAGCTGCGTACGCTTTTCTCCAAATCATTCCAATCCTATTATTGTATCTGCGGGCTGGGATTGCGTTGTTAAGGTATGCTAATTGAAAATTATGAAAAATGTAATGTTATATCAAATTTATTTTAAATGATGAACATTTTAATACCATGATATCTATGAATGGTTAGCGGATATGGGACTGAATATTTATGTTTACATTTATATATTAAATATTATAAATATTCTTGTTTTATTGAATGATTAATCTTTTACAGGTATGGAACCTGACAAACTGCAGACTAAAGATCAACCATAATGGACATTCTGGATATCTCAATACAGTTACTGTTTCTCCAGATGGTTCATTATGTGCATCTGGTGGAAAGGTATGTAATGAATTTTTTTTAAACAAAATATTTATTTTATTAATACGATGAACTCTTATTAAACATAATGTTGTTTGTTTTTAGGATTGCAAAGCTATGTTGTGGGATTTGAATGATGGCAAGCACCTTCATACTCTTGATCATAATGATATCATTACTGCACTTTGCTTTAGCCCTAATCGCTACTGGCTCTGTGCCGCATTTGGACCATGGATCAAGATTTGGGATCTTGAAACTAAAGAAATGGTTGAGGAATTAAAACCTGAAGTTGTATCTGCAACCAGTAAAGCAGAACCACCTCAATGTTTGTCTCTCGCTTGGTCCACTGATGGACAAACATTGTTTGCAGGTTATTCCGACAATACTATTCGCGTATGGCAAGTCTCTGTATCTAGCCGCTAATACTTTGTAAAAAAAGTAGAAAAATAAAAAAAAATGTAAACGTCAATATATTTTTCTTATTTTAAATATTTATTTTATTTGTTTCTTTTTTTAAATAATGTACATAGTATTTTTGCTATAATTGATCTGCGATATGATTTATATTATGGACAATATCATATGTATTTTGTCAACTATATAAAATGTAAAGCGTCTGAAAAAATTAATTGTTATTGCCATTATTCGACGACTTTTGTAATTTTTCTTCTAGTTTTTCAAATTCCTTTTTCGCTATTTTATCAGTTTCGTCTTCAACTTGTATGACACCTAATACTTCTGGTATGTAAAACTGCATCATATTTTGAACTCCATTTCTCAATGTTACGACAGAACTTGGGCAACTAGTGCAAGAACCTTGCATTTTAAGTTTTACAATACCTTCTTCAAAACCCTGTAACAAAGTCAATTTAAATATGTGGAAAATTTGCAAAAGTTAAAAGTAATGCTATTTGAATGTTTTAAATTATGTTTACCATAAAAACAATGTCACCTCCATCTTCTTGTACTGTAGGACGTATTCGTGTATCTAAAAGTTCTTTTATCATCTGAACAATTTCATCATCATCTTCATTAATTTCTATAAAATTAAAATAATGTTATTACAACAGTTGTTTGTATTGTAAAAATTATTCTTTGTAAGCTTAGAAATTTTGTCTATATACGTGTGTCTGCTGAAGGTTGTGATTCATTTAATATCGGTAATCCGCTTGCAAAAAAATCCATGATCGTTGCAAATATTTCTGGTTTTAAAATACCCCATTCCATATCTTCATCCGCTTTAGTTATTGTAATAAAGTCAGGACCAAAAAATACAGATTTAACTCCTTCGATACGAAATAACATTTTTGCAAGAGGTGAGCAATAAGCATTAGTAGCATTTGGAAAATCTTTAGTACCACCTCCTTCTAACACTTTAACGCCAGGAAGAAATTTTAAACTATTTGGATTAGGAGTATCCTGGGTTTGAATAAACATGCTACGCTTTTGTAACTGTGATAAATTATATTTGTTTTTATTGCAAAGAACATGTTGCCTTGATTTAAAATTTTGTAAATCTGTATGTAAATTCGCAACGTTTTTATTTAAGATCCTGTAAAATGTTAAGTATACGCATAAAATATGTTAAATTAATAATTTTGTATTTATATAAATAAAATTGTTCTACTAATATTTCTCATATTTCTACATTCTGACTTAAATATTTTATGTAACTTACTTTAAACTTGATTGACTAGTTAATAATGATCTATAAGCTAAATAACGACTGGACTGTAATGATTTGGTTAATATTTTGTCCATCATTAAATAAGTATCACACTTTTGTAATTATTGTACGCAGTTGTCATGATTTTGAGGTTTACTACTACCGTACAATACTCTATTTCAGTTCTAGTTAGATTTTAGTGAATAAAAATAGTAATTCATAAGGTAGCCACGATGGTGCAGTCATCGAATTTAAACTAAATTGTAACTGCCTCATTTGTTGTTTCATTTGTTTTCGTACTTACAAGAATATTCAGCCAGGAAGAAAAAGGAGTCTACTTTATATCGTAAATGTTTTAATTTTATATACGAATTGATCAAATTTACAGATATTTTTATAGAAATAGTGCATAATAGTAATACAATAATCACAAACATGAATACAAGTATGAATAACAAGGGTGGATTTCTAAACGACACACAATCGGCTTCTGGCGAAAAGAATTTTAGAAGAGTACAAAATGTTATGCCTGTAATGATAAAACAAATATTAAGTTCTTCTGGCGAGTTTGAAGTTTGGGGTGTTCCAGCACGTATGATTACAATTCTTGGCATATTACGCAGTGTTAATGAATCTACAACTAAGATCGCATATGAAATAGAAGATGAAACAGGTGAATATACAAAGTAAAATAAATAGAAACTAAATATAATAATAATTATACAAAAGTTATAAAACAAATGTATGTATATCTCAAACATTACAGGTGCAATCACAGCTGTTCGATGGTTAGAAGCAAATAAAACTTCGTCAGAACCATCGTTGGAAATAAATAGTTACGTTAGAATAATTGGTCTTTTGCGCGAACAAAATGGAGCTAAACAAATTTTTATATTGCGTATATTACCTCTTGAAGAACTCAACGAGTTAACTAATCACTTGTTGGAAGTCACTTATGTTACATTAAAGGCTGAACAATTATTTAAAGGAAAAAATTCAAATAACTCAGATGATGATACGAAAACTAACGATTGCTCTGGTATGAGTCCAGAACAAGCTGCAATATTTAATATAATACAAGCTGATACTAGCGATTCTGGAATTGAAAGAAGTGTAGTCAAAGCTCGTACACCGGCACATATGTTAAGTGAAGTTGATAATATCATTCATTTTCTTATATCCGAGGGTCATATTTATACCACCTGTACGGATGACCACTTTAAAGCAACTTAATTTGTGAATTTAATAATAATTATTTTAATACTTTAATAATTAGATATATAAAAGATGTTAAATATATAAGTTTATAAATTAGACTAGATTATATTTTTAACTAGACTATATTTTTGTGTTTTTTTAATAATAAGAATAGTAATGCGTCTAAACAGAAGGAAACTAACAATACATACAGATTATGTGCTTGAACCCTACAAGGGAAGCGATAAACATACATACATATGCAGACTACATTTCTCTGCCGATAGTTTACTTCAAAATATTTCTTTTCTTTACTTTTTTCATGAAATTTCACTACATTCTTCACAAATTAAACTGAAGAAAATAATGATGTTGTGTTTTGTCATTCGTTATTTTTGTTAAATTTACTCTCATATCAGATAAATAACAATATCGAAGTTATGTACAATTATATTTTTCGATAAATAATAAAAAATTTAAGATGGTATAAATTTCAATTTTATATAGAGTTCTTAACTTTATAAATACAGTATTGGATAAAATGAAACTAAAATATATATAATGGAAAGAGTATATATATATATATATGTATATATAAATGATTTATTGTGAAAATGTGATATAATGTTTATATTTTGTCTTTTAGAACTGAAAATATTTGAATACGATATCTTTGGCGCTCTTGTTTTGCACATCTCGACGCGCATCCTAGGGATTAATCGTTAGAAATGTCATGAATCGATTATCGCAAATAGTGATATCGATAGGTAATTTTTAACAATCGATGTTCGATTTAGAGAAGAAAATACCAGCAGTATACAAATCACGTTTTTTTTATTCTGTGCATCGTGATTCGAATTACGGATCAAATGTTATAACACGATAATTGTTTTAGCAAATTTATATGTACTTTCATACATATTAAACGCGCGTGAAATTTGTGATAAGTTATAAAAAATTTATCGATATAGACGACTGTATTACAAATTTATAAGTTAAGCATTACAGAAAGCTTATACTAATTTTGAGGTTAGACTGGATATTCCTTAATTGTAAGTATATATTTTATTTGATATCAATGATTAGGTTATTTATTTTTATACATATATAAATATGTGTTTTATAAAAATATTTATGTGTAGATATAAAAATGTCCCAATCAACAGAAAATGTGAAGCTTGAATCAAGCGAAGCGCAAGGTGAAGGTTCGCAAAGAAAAAAGCCAACCTGTATTATAGTTCTTGGAATGGCTGGTTCTGGGAAAACTAGATTTGTGCAAAGAGTTGTTTCTACTTTGTACAGTATTAAAAAACCTTATGTTATCAATTTAGATCCAGCTTGTAAAGAAGTTCCTTATCCTGCTAATATAGGTGATTTTTATATAAATGTTTTGTTATGTATATATAATATACAACAGTTTCAATTAATGAATTACGACATGGATACATTTCAGATATAAGGGATACCGTTAATTACAAAGAAGTTATGAAACAATATGGCTTAGGTCCCAATGGTGGTATAGTTACAACATTAAATTTATATACTACAAAATTTGATCAAGTCATGGAGTTTGTCGATAAAGCGGGTAAAGAACATGATTATGTGATTTTTGATACCCCAGGACAAATAGAAGTATTTACTTGGTCTGCAAGTGGTAGAATTATAACAGAAGCTTTGGCATCTCAATTTCCAACTATTATTGTATATGTGTTAGATACAGCACGTAGTGTTAATCCTGTTACATTTATGTCAAATATGCTCTATGCGTGTTCCATATTATATAAAACAAAATTACCATTTATTGTTGCTATGAACAAGGTAAGAAGAAATGATATTATCAGCGAGTTCAATTAGAATTATCATTGTAATTAATTTATTTATAGATCGACATCGTCAGTCACAGTTATGCTGTTGATTGGATGCAGGATTTTGAAGCTTTTCATGACGCTCTTGATTTTGAAACTAATTATATCAGTAATTTAACAAGAAGTATGGCTCTTACTCTTGATGAATTTTATTCTCATTTACGTCATTGCGGAGTTTCTGCTGTTACTGGGGATGGTATTATCAAATTTTTGGAACTTGTTGAAGATGCGGTCAAAGAATATTATAAGTAAATATATATTTTAATTTAAAGAAAGAACAAACAATGCGAAAAAAAATTACTTATATATTTTTTATATAATTTAAGCGAGTACAAACCAAATTTGGAGAAATTGAAGCAACTGCGAGAAGTTCAGAGGAAAAAAATTGAAAAGGAAGCTCTAGAAAATGCTAAAAAAAGTGATGAAGTGGAAACCACATCATTTGTAACAACCGTAAAGAGTGGTAGAGAAATTTCAGATATATATCTAAAACATGCTGGCAATGAATCGAGCGAGGATGAGGAGGGCACAGAAAATACTTACGATGATGATGTTACAGAAAAGAAAGAGGTCGAATCTTTCAAAACATTTTTAGAAAGGCATAAACAAGAACAAATTAATAAAAAAGTTACGATTCAACAAGAATAATTTAGTACTAGTGAAAATATGTAGATTATATTCTATGTACAAATGTCATTATTTTATATTTTAAAGTACAAATGTACATACATAGTTTATATTTTACGTACAAAACAAAAATAATTCTTTTACTTTTTAAACTTTTAAAGTATTCCTTTTAATAAAACATTGTTTCAATTAGTCACTGTAAGGTAATATTTTAACAGATATATATAACATAATGTAAAGCACTCTTATATATTATGACAATATCATTTTTTTAGAACATTGAATAAACTCATTCGTATATGAAAAAAAAAAATGAGATCTAATACTCAATCAAGTTTACTTATTATTATTTAAAGGCATGTAAAAAGCAAAATTTTGTGTACTAGGAATAAACCAAGGTTGCGAAACGTTGTTGTTAATCGAGCTGCAGTTTCTTTTTGAGTAAAAGTCCATTCCATTTCTTATTAGGTATTCCTGAGAACGATCACTTTGTGGAATGGAAAAAGGTTTCTCTGTAAAGAATGGAGAATACTCTGGCAATTCTGAAATAGAAATAATTTTGTTTATAATATAAAAAGTATGGAAATAATTTAATAAGATAATATTAATAGTATACAAATAAATAGAACCTTGTTCCGAAGATACAGAAGAGGAGGATTCGCTTCTAGTCGATTCGTTTAAAGACTTTTCCCGACGTTCGCGACTTAATTGTTCCAAAGTTTTGGTCAAGGCGAGCTATGTCGATTAAAAATAAAAGAATAAAGATTTTTGAGCCGATAGAACGATTAACCACGTAATAAAAAAGGAATACCTTACCTGGCACATACGTAAATGCGAAATAGGAGTTGCCAAATCTTTGCATCTTGGGGGTTCGAAATTTTGGAAATATTTGTTCTTTCCAATAGATTTTCGGCAAACTCGTGATAGAAGTTCAACACGACCGGCTTGAAAGTTTTCATGCATGAACTCGTGAACGTTTGGATTATAGCAACTGCATAATGGATCGCGATTATGTGATGTCACCTTACGAAAACCGTACAAATTCAATTGTCTGATAAAGCTCGTGATGTTTCTCGTTTTGAAAATGGACGTCTCTCCGTCAAGGTATTCTTCTTGAAATTGTTTGTAATCCAATAGAATTGATGAGCCATCGGTGTTCCATTGAATTGCACCACTTTTACAAGCGTTAACGATCTTCCAAAGTTTTTGAGGAAATCTCATAGAAAGTATACGATCGTCGTACATGATTGATGATGGCAGCCCGCTGATATAAATTGGAACGCTCTTTCTTCGAACAAAAACGATTCTGAGAATGGTTCGAGGCATTTCCCGAGCGCAATTATTTCCTAAAACAAATGACTGTCGTATCACGGCAACAATAATTTTCAGCAGACTCCAGAACTCCGAATCGTCGAAATCTTGGAATAATAATTGTAAGAAATCGTGAAGGATGTCATTTTTTAATAATCGAACGAATTATCGTCGTTTCGTTATAATTAACATTTTATTTTGCCTTTCTTATTATTTCTCTTCTTTCTATACATCTCTTAAACGTAAGAATTAGTGTATACGATACATTAGCAAAAAAAAAAAAAACAGATATTATATTCTTAACTTAATATATTATTATTATTATTATTATTATTATTATTAATATTATTATTATTATTTTTATTATTTTACAAGAAAAATCAAGTATACAAATTGGAGCAAATTATTCTTAACTGTGCTCTCATGCAGTCGGTCGACTTTGCGTCAAGGATTCAATAAATTATCTCGAAGTATGATACATTAGTTGTACATGGGTAACAACGTTCGTTTCGATTAACTTATCCTAATAATAGGAATAATACTATTGCGTGGACATTGAAGGATCGATGGTCCGTCCGAACCTTCGTAAATTCCCTGATATCATTTTACGTGCATTTTATTCGTTTCAATTATTACTCACAGCACGTAGGATCGTTTTTAATTTCGATCATCGTATATATACATATATATATATATATTATATATTATACATACATATTTATATATATATGTATAAGTATTCGAATCGCATTGCGAAAGAACAAAAAAGAACTAAAAAAAAAAAAAAAAAAAAATTGAAAAACAAAACAAATAAAATAAAACATCAAGAAAACAAAACAAAAATCTACGAAACGTTGACGATCGTTAAAGAAAAATCTTATTTCTTCATTTTTTTATATTATATAAAATTAATATTTTGTTAATTTAATCGGTCAAAGCCGGCAGAGTTTGTAAATATTCGCGAGGCGTAAATGGCGAAGGCAACAAGTAACCGTCAGAATCTAAAACATCAGGAGTACGAATGGTGACAGGTCCTTGTGGTGGTCTCGGTAATGTTCCCTGTTGATTTAATTTCCCTTGGACTTTCTCCAATCTCTCCAATATGTCGGAGAATTTAATACGATCTTTCGGGTCTGTCTTCCAACACTCGCACATTATTTGACAAATGAATTGTGGGCATTCGTCAGGAGGTATTAACATAATTCCATGTAGTACCAGCTTCATCACCTACGTACAAAATCTTGGTAATGAGGTAACAGGTTTTTTTTGACTTAAGTAGCAAATATAAAAAGACAAATCTTTTAATCTTACCTCTTCGTTACTGTGTCCGTAATATGGTTGCTTGCCAAGGGAGTAGATCTCCCATAAGACTACACCGAAACTCCAAATGTCACTTTCTAATGTAAATCTACCATACAACAAACTTTCAGGTGCCATCCATCGGATTGGTAATAATCTCGAACCACCGATCTACATTTGTATATTCATGTCAGATACGTTTTATAATTGTTATGACAAATTTTATTTACGGTACGTGTGTTTGTACATACTTTATAATAATCGCAGGTATAGACGTCCCTTGATAAACCAAAATCTGCGATCTTGACAACGAGCCCGGATCCAACAAGACAATTACGACAGGCTAAATCACGATGAACGAATCTCTGTGCTGATAAATATGTCATACCGGCAGCTATCTGAATGGCTATCCAGTGTAAGGAACCCTAATTAATACAAATATCGCGTTAGAAGTAAACTAAAATGTTTAATATTTTATAATAATAATAATAATAATAATAATAATAAAAACCTTTGTTAAAGGTTCTAATCCAGGATTAGGTGAATGCAGTTGTCTCGAGTTAGATCTCAAAACTTCAGCAAGATCACCATACGACATATATTCAAATACCATCCATGGACTGTTACCAGCATCACGAAGTACCACACCTTTCAAATTTAAAATATTTTGATGTTTAAAGGTTGACATAATATCTGCCTCTCGCATGAAATCTTCCTCAGCTTCTCTTGAGACAGTATTTTTTAAAACTTTTATCGCGACGATCTCGGTTACATCTTCATTTCTTAATTCTCCTACAATGAAAAAAAGATAATTTAATTTTATCTTTTAGAACATGTTAAACGAATATTAAATATATCAAAAATAAATCTATAAATATATATTACAAAATTTACCTTTATAAACTTTACCAAAGCAGCCTTCACCGATATCATGAAAAAATACAAGATTTTCACGTTGCAATATGAATACTTCCGGCGAGTTACAACTATAATATTGAGGATTAGGCGTGTATTTGTTTGGTAACAATAATCCCTTTTTCAGGTTCATCGGAGATGACTGGATAATATAGAAAATTGTGATAAGATTTGTTGGAAATCATTTTTGATATTGAATATTTTCAATATCGTTATACTTACGTCCAATGAATTTCTTTGCGATTTAACACCATAACTTCGTCTCCTCACGCAATAGACTATACTCAAGAGGATAACTATAACCGCGACGAATGCTATCGCAATTCCAACTATTTCAGGTACTTTATGCCTCGAACGTTCAACCTGCACGATAACATTATAATACTATCCATTATGCTTACGTTAAGAAGTTTAATTATTTATTTAGAATTTAAATATGTTTAAGAGAATTGATCGAATAATGAATACCTGTTCTGCTTCTGGTAGAGCAGTTGTACTGTTTGTGCCATTACCACTTGGTGGTATTATATTGTGTATGGGTCGTGGAGTCAAAGGGACTAAAAGAATGAAGAAAAAGAAGAAATATTGTTGGACACAACGTTATAGGTCTCTTAAAAAAAAAAATCAACGAAGAAAGAAAAAGAAATAAAGTTAACCCTTACCGGTTAGACGTTTAGGACATTTGAGGTCTGACGTAGGTGGGGAAGTATCATGTGGACAAACGCATTGGGAAGTGTTATCACTGAAACTACGACAGGCAGCCTCCTTTCCGCAAATGGTTGGTTGATCTTTGCATCCACTAATTACTGTAGCACCGACGGTTGCTGGAAACTCAGTTATCGTTTCATATTGCTGACTGGTCGAGGATGGTACTAGCAGCGATGGTTCTAGAACAGTTACTTCATTCTTAGAAAATACGAGAGAACGTTTTGATTTTCCGCGTTCGTCTGTCCTCGATTGGATCATCATGTTAAGGATTATTACATCTTACTGAATAATCATTTTCTCATGTTAAATTGTAACACGATATATAATCGAATATATGGTAGGGTCAATCGAGGTTGAACAATCAATGTTCCGATGATGTCAAGATCTTATACTAAAGACTCGAGGGAAAATAATTGGCCTGAGTATTAACTCGAGAATTCAGATAACTACAGTTGAAAAGGGAACGTCGGTTGTCGTCGGGCCGTTGTAGTCGGTTAATTCGCGAAGATGTAAAGGAAGGAACGGTAAAAGGGCATCGGAGGAAGGAAAAAGGGCTGCATATTTGGATTGGGCCTGAGAAGATAGATACAGTGAAGGCATTCATTTGGTGCTTCAAGCTTGTAACGGGTCAAAGCGTTATCTCTGCGGTCAGCGCTCCCCGACAACGAGTCTCGCTATGAGTACCTATTATCGTCCCGTATTCCTTTACTTACTTTAAAGCATCTCCGTAGTACGTACGCGTAAGGGGTTTCAAACTAATTTTTCTGAAAAATCACTAAACCGTTCCCAAAAATACCCTCCACAATTTTCTCAGGATTAGATAAGTTTAGTTCTTCTACTCGTGGAATTGTCGGCGATAGAATGGGGAGAGATAAACAAGGAGGAGAAAAAAAAGAGAGAGAGAGAGAGAACAAAAAAAATAAATTATTGCCAAGGTCAAAAGGTTATACTCGTTGTTTTTTTATTCAGATATATCTACCTTTGATAAATCTCAAACGTCTTACAAATTTTCTTTCTTTTCCTATTTTATACTAGGTTTTACATATTACTAGATTTCGTCTATTTTATATATAATATATCATAAATAGTGTATGTTTAATAATTTAATAAAAAAAAAAAAAGAAAAAAGAGAAAAAAAAAGGATAGAGCTAGGAGTAAATAAATGCGTTCTCTGTGTAACAGATACGCGATAAAAATCCATCAATTTCGCTTGGTGGAATGCAGAAGAGTTAGACGAGAATATTATTATCACGTTCTCTAATCTGAACGTATGAAGGTCGCGTAAACGTTTACTGATATATACGAAACATTGTAATCGACTTAATTAAAATTACAAAGTATTTACCGAGTCAATCAAATCTCGTCTTTCGTTGGAGCAACAACATCGTCGTCGTCGTCGTCTTGGTGAAAGGCAACAAGAGGTGGAGGAAAAGAGAGGGAGAGAAAAAAAATGTCATGGGATTTTTCTCGAACGTTAAGAAGGCTACTTTATTACCTACGTTATTGGATGACCTATGATCTTTTTCATCGTTTACTCGTAAAGTGCTACAAGTGTCATCGTACAATCGAGTGACCTACGATAGCGTTTGTCAACGTCCACGTAATTTTTTTCCCTCGGGAATTGTCCTTTCAACGATTTTTATAGAAATTATCCAAGGTTCTTCAAAGTATTCATACATAACACGCATATATACAAACACACACACACATATATATATATATATATATATATATAAATTTATTTTTAATAGATGCACACATCTAATATCGATCACAGTAGAAGACATTTTTAACGACGTTATGTTTAACGTTTTCCTTTTTTTCATTTTTTTCATTTTTTCTTCGTCCAAAAAAAGAAAAGCAACTGTACATTGTGTATAAATTTCATGGGGGATGGGAAATAATAGAAAGCGTTTACCACCTCCACCCTCGTGTTATTGTAAAGACGGTCATTTATAGAGGATTTAGCAACTTTGAAGGACATTCGAATCAACCACCACGTGTACGAGAAGTTTATTTACGAAAGCAAGCTTTAGGTCAGAGAAAGAGAAGCCACAATAGAGGCATTATATACGTTTCCTTAATGTACGTCTTTTTCTCTCTCCTTCTCTCTCTCTCTCTCTCTCTCTCTCTCTCTCTCTCTCTTTCTCTTTCTGCCGAAAGCGTGCGAGATTTGCAAGCTAACTGACCGGCAAAAGGGCGGAAGATGTCCGATGATTAACCAGAGTAATGAAGACCGAGACTGTGCCCGTGTATTCGACAAAAACTTTCCTAGTAATAAAGTCCAATAAGAAGAGTTCGATGTTATCCTTATAATGGACCATTTATTGTAAATTCGTAGTATTTTTTTTTTACATTTATATATTTATTTTTTCTGTTCATGTAGTTTGTGTTTAGAATTTAATTAATTATAATTTTAAAAGATAGATATGACAAAAAAGACGGAGGATTATTTTTTGTATGTACCATTTGTATTGCGATTTCGTACACAGTAATGCGAATATTTGATTTAAAATTGAAACTAATGAAAATTGTAAGATAAAGGGATGAAAATTTTGTTCGGTATCATTTATTGTAAATCCATGCTCGTACATATATATTGCTCTTATACGGATTTAATTTAGAATTTAAAACTAATTCGAAATTTAAAAAGACAAATACGAGGATGATGGATTATTTGATTTCTTGTTCTTTTTTTTTTCTTTTTCTTTTTTTACAGCTAACGAAGGGACGACAATAAAGACGTCGTTGAATATTTAACAATGGAACACGGAACATAACAATAAGCCATCCTTCGTTATATTATACTTCGTGTCTCTCATTTAACTAATCGTATTAAAGTCCATTATATATGTATGTGTACGGGTTTATAAACGTGTGTGTGTGTATATTCGAATTATATTCTGATTGGTATATGCACAAACAAGCATTAATATTTTTCTTTTTATATTTCTAATGATTAATCTTATTACTACATATTCGATGTCAATTTTGTCACGTTCTAGCGTTTTTCCCCATGTTAGAATATTAAGAGAAAGAGAGAGAGAGAGAGAGAGAGATTCGGGTATGTTGATGCAACGCATATGGTTATCGTTACGGGTCAGTCTTATCAGAAGGTCGAATATATCGATATTGAAGATAATTTCGAAAGACATAAGAAAAATGTAGATTTTTGTTTTTTTTAGTATCGATTTCCTTTTTTTCCTACGATTTTTCTATCATTATAGAGTATTTTTCTTTCTATATCTTCCAGATAAATATATTTTAGGTTGTTTTTTTTTTTTGTTTTTTTGAAATATTGGATTAAAATCGAGTTTGTCTTATTTGTACGTTCTTTAGAAGGAAGAAGATAATTTATTATCGGTTAGAATTAATTTTTTGTATTTAATAGAAAATATTTCAAGAAAATATTATTTGTTATAGAAACTTTTAGACCTCGTCCTTATTTAATTATCGTCGTGATCGAGTCTTCGCAATATTTCAATAAAAAGGGTATTCAGTAGCTACTTGAGATACGATCGCACTTTCATCAATGGAACACATTTATAAAACGGACCACCAACGTACGATCAAAATATCGTGACGCGTTCGAAAAGAGATTCATTCGTGCGTTGAATTAATTAATCATAATATATTAACTAACTATTATAACTAATTGACCGTTGAAATTCATTTATTTAGATTAATAATTCATCATTTCTTCTTACCTGTTTCCGACGAATTAATGGAAGGTGAGAGTCCTCTCCTCTTTGGAATCCTACGTCGATCCATAACGAACATCAATGACGAAAGAAAAATTTTCCTTTTTATTTTTTTCTCTCTTTCCTCGGAAGATAATTAAAATATACGAAAGAGAAGAATAGAAAAAATGCAACAAGAATAGAAGAAAAAAGAACCGAGTTGGAAGTAACAATAATAATAAAAACAAAAAGATAGTAAAAAAAATCCTTTCTGTTTCTTTTATTTTTCTTTATTTATTTTTATTTTTATTTTGTTATTTTTTTATTTTTCTGCTCTCGTTCGTTGCACTTTGCACTTCACCCGGCTTTGCAATTAACATCGACGCGTTAACATCGTCATTGTTTTAGTAAAATTTCACGCACATTTCAGTGAATCTTCTTCTTCTTTAATAATGTACCGCTTTCTTCTTATCCAACACACTATTCTTCATAAGTTTGTTAGAACTACTATCGCTTCTTTTTATATCCATGAGCACAATCGAGATTTGTCATAATTCACTTAAACATATTATTTTCACACTATGATGTAATATATATATTATTTAAATCCCAATTATAAAAAAAAAATAATTAACACGAAATCGTCACACTATTATTTCTCTATACGATTAGAATACGATTATAAACGTTCAAAGAGAAAGACAAAAAAAAAAAACACCCGAGAATGGAATGGAAATATAATTTCTGATGTGTAAACATTTAAATGAAATTTGATTAAATTGGCGAACGGAAGTCCGAGGATGTTTGTGAACATAAAGGATAAAAGAACATACGAAGAACCGGCTGGTTGGGTGGTGGTGAACGATTAAGCCGGAAGAAGAGGAATAAGAAGAAGATCAAGATGAAGAAGAAGGGTAGAGAGGGAGAAAGAAAATGAAAGAGTGGGTGAGTAGTGAGGGAGGGTGCGTGAACGTGTACCAAAGGGGACGGTGAATCCTCTCTTGAACGAATGCTTATTCGAAACTAAAGACCGACTAAAGACTGACTTCGAGAACTCCCTCGCATTGCTCGTTCGTATGCGCGCACACATTTATACACATAACATACACAAATGAAATATCTTTGAACTCACACGGATTTTATTTTTCTATCTATTTTATTCTACTCTATGCATATATATATATATATATATTTTCTTCGTGTTACGCACTACACAACAACAACAACAAGAAATACATATATTATATATATATATATATATATAATATATGTATATATATATATCTATACTACTTACGTACTTTCAAAGGATTTACAAGAGAGACAAACGCAATTCATCATCTTTTCTGTACGTCCTACGCTATCGTAATGCGGCGAGAAATGTTTCTCGGATAACGTTTCTCAGTAATATTCGAATATAGTTTTTCTTTACTGTTGGACATTGTTGCAATTGATTCTCATATACGCGTGTCTCATCGAAAATCTACGTAATGTAATAATCACCGTGTGATATATGTATATATATATATTTTTATGTTGTGTTTTAAATGCATGGGTACATGTTGATATTGATTAACGATCGATTACGAGATACTGTTTTGGGATTTTCTTTTCTTTTTTTCTTATTTTTGTACCTATAAACATATATTTATATTTATTCGTTGATTATTACTTACTGTTTACGATGAAAATACAACGAGTTTAACGTTGATACGAGAGAGAGTAGTTAACAGCTAGGTTTGTTCCTTATCGCAGCTCGTTTCTAATGTTTGCAATGAATTTTAGGTCGTAACATTTTCTAATATCATATCAACGCGCAGAAAATCCGACGAAGAAATCTTGTTTAAATAAATAAATCATTAGCGTCGCGTGTGTGTATATGTGTGTGTATGCGTGTGTGTATGCATGCGTGCGTGCCGGTAATTATGACAGTGGAATCATTTTAAGAAAGTTGTTTCTTTTTAAATTGATTTTATAATTTATATTTGTAATATAAAATAATTTTTAGATCATTTTTTGATAATTTTTCTTAACTCAATTCACACTGTTATAATTATGTATATAAGCATATATATATGTATAAATTTTATAATTTTATATAATATCGTATTCACATTCGAGATATTATTTTGATAGTATTCTGTCTCTAATGATGCATTAGATAAAAAAGAAATAGAGATAATTTAGATGACTTTCTCAGAATGTTAAATACTTATAATATATATAGCTATTGGCTTAGGATGAAATTAGTTATCTGTTTTTATTTCTAAATACAAAGGTTAATTGCTCTCCACTGGCCGTAGATATTTTTTCAAAGTTTAAAATTATACCGAACTTCCCATACTTCTTCGAATTTCTTTTACGATTCGTTTCATATTTTTCCACTTCTCCCCTCTCCCCCTCACCATCCTGACTTTGTATTATTTCAATTTCTTTATTTTCTATTTTTAACGTCAAACGTTTCCGAAAATCATTTATTATTGTAAAAACTATAAACATTTCGAATATACGCGCGCAAGTATTAATATTTGCCAATGATAATTAAATATTATTCCATATCTTTTTCATGATTGTTTCGATATTTTATTACTATAGTGATGAATGAGTCGACTCCTTGACACGCTTCAAAACTCTTCTGGAGAACAAGTCGACTTTTCAGCTACCGATCGCGATAAACAAGGCCGTTTACGATCATGAGGATGCGTTTCTTAATTTAAGACGCGTGGCTACTTTACGATGTAAAAAAATCTTTTACGAGTATACACAAATTAGTACAAATTCCACTTCTGAATGATTAATAGAAAATATATATATATAATATCAATGTAATAATAATTAATTCATTATTTATTGTATTATTTTTGCTTACACGA